TTTTTTTTTACAAAAGAATTTAAATTCACAATCTCATATTAAATTTTTTATAAAAGGTGTTTAAAATCTTCTATCCTTAATATAAGATCTAATTAACTAATTAATTTATGTAGATAATGATACTAGTATATTAGTTAAATGATATTTTTTCTAAAAAAAACACCTTAAGTCTCTTTCTTTTTTTCTCTCTCACTCTTCTATTTAATTATTTTAAAAAAATCATAGATTTAATTTAAAAAAAATTAATAAATATGTGAAAATACGTCTTATAATAGGATCAATATCAACTCTTTAATTATGTCTTATATTAAAAACCGAAGAGTATCAATTAAGTTATAACAAACCTTCAAGTATGAGTTGGTCCCAAAAAAGGGGATTAGTATGGACGCAAATTAGAAGTGAAGATGACTTATAAGATTTTACACTCTTCTCGGTGCAAGATCGATCGATCATAATTTGACTTTGTTAGTTAGCTTGTCATACATTACAAGACACCCACCCAAAAAAAAAAAACTTCCTAAGAATATAAAACCTTTCAATTATTTTCAAACAAATAAGAATACGATTTGGGCCTTAGCACGTGGACAACATATTTTGGGAAAGTCTTAAAGCTGATATGGGCCTCCACAATATAATTCAGGATACACTATTTAATTTATTTGTTATTTATAACTATCTATTTAATGTTTATTGAAATATTAGTAGAAGTAGCAATAATAATTTTTTTTATCATATGTTTTAAGAAACAGTGTTTTCTTTGGCTAAATTTTAAAAAACAATGTTAAATATTCACCTACAATGCACAAAAGTATATTCCTAGGTAACTTGATATTTGTTTGTAAATAAAGAAGAAGAACAGAGAAGAAAGAATATCAATAAGAGAGAGTATTTCTCTTTCTATTCAATAGGGTACTGAATACATTGTACATGGCCTCTATTTATAGGCACGGCTTTACATCTTTGATAGAATCTACAGATATAAAGATAATTGCAGATAATGGGGATAATGGGAGTTACTGAAGATATTGGGAGATAAGGGAGATAATGATAGATACATGGACATCCATAAAGATATTATATTCATAACACTCCCCCTTGGATGTCCATAACTAAATATGTGCCTCGTTAAAAAACTTCTACTAAGAAAACCCTGTGGGACAAAACCTAGTAAAGAAAAAGAGTGCAACATTTATTGATATATATTTCATAGTGCTGCCTCGTTAAAAACCTTGCCAGGAAAACCCAATGGGAAAAACCATAGACAAGGAAAAAAGAGTACAGCATACATTTACTCCCCCTCTTGACAATGTCAGTTGATATCTCTGAGTCTACGAAGTCCAATGTCATGAACAAGTCTCTCGAACGTGGTGGCTGGAAGTGATTTGGTGAATAGGTCTGCTAAATTTTCGCTGGAACGAATTTGTTGGATATTGACTTCACCATCCTTTTGAAGATCACGAGTGAAGAAGAATTTTGGGGAGATATGCTTTGTTCTGTCTCCTTTGATATACCCTTCTTTTAGTTGGGTAATACATGCAGTATTATCTTCGTACAGTATTGTTGGGATCATTTTACCAGAAGACAAGCCACAAGTAGTTCGTATGTGATGTATTAAGGACCTTAACCATACACATTCTCGACTTGTTTCATGCATTGCTAGAATCTCCGCATGGTTAGATGATGTGGCTGATATAGTTTGTTTCATAGATCGCCATGAAATGGCTGTACCGCCACATGTGAATACATAGCCAGTTTGTGATTTACCAACATGTGGGTCAGACTGAAATCCAGCATCTGCATAGCCAACAAGATCGGTCTTGGATGCATTCGAATAAAATAATCCCATATCCATTGTACCCTTAAGATAACGAAGGATATGTTTAACTCCATTCCAATGCCTTCGTGTTGGTGAAGAACTATATCTTGCTAGTAAGTTGACTGCAAATGATATATCAGGTCGTGTATGATTAGCAAGATACATTAGTGCTCCAATTGCACTAAGATATGGTACTTCTGGACCAAGTAGCTCTTCATCACCTTTTTCCCCGATTTCTCGAGGTCTAAAAGGGTCCTTATCCACCTCCAAAGATCTTACAACCATTGGAGTACATAATGGATGTGATTTATCCATATAAAAACGTTCTAGGATCCTTTTTGTATAAGTTTCTTGATATACAAAAATTCCATTTTTCAAATACTCAATTTGTAATCCAAGGCAAAATTTTGTTCTTCCTAGATCCTTCATTTCAAATTCTTTCTTTAGGCAATTCACTGCCTTTTCAAGCTCTTCAGGAGTTCCAATAATATTTATATCATCAACATACACAGCGATTATAACGAACTCATTTCCTGATCTTTTCATAAAAATACATGGGCATATTGCATCATTTTTATATCCTTCCCTCAATAGATACTCACTAAGCCTGTTATACCACATTCGCCCTGATTGCTTTAATCCATATAGGGATTTGTTTAACTTAATTGAGTATCGTTCTCGAGAGTTTGAATTGTGTGCTTCTGGCAATTTCAGCCCTTCAGGGAGTCTCATATAAATGTCATTGTCAAGTGAGCCATACAGATAGGCTGTAACAACATCCATTAGATGTAAATTGAGCCCTTTATTTACTGCGAGGCTAATCAAGTATCGAAAAGTAGTTGTATCCACTACTGGTGAATAAGTTTCTTCAAAATCGATACCAGGTCTTTGTGTAAATCCTTGGGCAACGAGTCGTGCTTTGTATCTTATGATTTCACCCTTTTCATTTCTCTTTCGCACAAAAACCCATTTATATCCAACCGGTTTTACATCTTCAGGTGTAAGGACTACTGGTCCAAAAACTTTTCGCTGTTCTAGCGATTTTAATTCTGCCTCAATTGCATTTTTCCATTTTGGCCAATCCTTTCTTTGTTTACATTCACTAATTGACTTTGGCTCATGATCCTCATTATCATTCATCACATCGAGCGCTACATTATAAGAGAAAATATCATCAACGTCGACTTCACTTCGGTCCCATCGTATCCCATTCATAACATAATTAATTGAGATCTCATCATTTTCACATATTTCAGGTACCTGACTTTCACTGAGAATTGGGACGTTAGCGTTGTCTAATGACTCTTCTGGAGTTGCTAACTTTTCTAAATTATTCTCGACTAGGCCATCTATACTTTTAACTCCTTTTTTCTTTCGAGGATTTTTATCTTTGGAGCCGATGGGCCTGCCACGCTTCATGCGTGCTTTAGAATCATTCACAATTGGTTGTCCATCAGGGACATCAATTTTAATAGGAGCATTAACAGCTGGAATATGTGATTTTGTTACTCTCTTCGGGTCAGTAAATGCATCTGGTAATTGATTTGCTAAACTTTGTAAATTGACTATCTTTTGAACTTCCAGTTCACATTCTTTTGTGCGAGGATCAAGATGAGACAGTGATAATTCTTTCCAGCTAATGTCCTTTTCCAACTTCTTATTTTCTCCCCTCATTGTTGGAAAAACTGACTCATCAAAATGACAATCGGCAAATCGAGCTGTGAACAAATCTCCTGTTGAGGGTTCTAGATATTTTATTATAGTGGGAGATTCATATCCAATATATATTCCCATCCTTCTTTGAGGCCCCATCTTGGTACGTTGTGGGGGAGCAATTGGAACATGTACAGCACATCCAAAGGTTCTTAGATGGGAAATATTGGTTCATGACCAAAAACCACTTGTAAAGGGGAGGACTTGAGATAACTTGTTGGCCTGATGCGAATTAACATTGCTGCATGCAAAATTGCATGTCCCCAAGCAGAAATTGGGAGATTTGATCTCATAAGTAATGGTCTTGCAATTAATTGTAAACGTTTGATTAATGATTCTGCAAGTCCATTTTGTGTGTGCACATGAGCCACAGGATGTTCAACATCAATCCCAAGAGACATACAATAATCATTGAAAGCTTGTGAAGTAAATTCACCAGCATTATCAAGACGTATTTTCTTGATAGGAAAATCAGGGAAATGTGCTCTTAATCTAATTAATTGAGCCAATAATCTTGCGAACGCCAGGTTACGCGAAGATAATAAACAGACATGCGACCATCTTGTTGATGCATCAATTAGAACCATAAAATATCTAAATGGTCCGCATGTGGATGTATCGGTCCACAAATATCTCCCTGTATGCGTTCTAGAAAAGTGAGAGGCTCACTTTTTAGTTTTCCTGGTGATGGCCGAACAATTAACTTTCCCTTGGAACATGCATTACATGAGAAAACATTGGATTGTGGTATTTGTTGACTTTTCAATGAATGTCCACATGAATTCTCAATTATTTTTCGCATCATAATTGTCCCGGGATGGCCTAACCGGTCATGCCAAACATTAAATTTGTTATCATTTATAAACTTCTGGTTTATAATGATGTGTACTTCAATTGTACTAATAATTGTGTAGTACAAGCCAGAAGAAAATGCAGGCAATCTTTCTAGTGTGCATTTTTTACCTGAGGTTGACTTTGTAATAGCAAGATATTCTTGATTTTCCTCAATTGTTGTTTCGATATGGTATCCATTCTTGCGGATATCCTTAAAACTCAACAAATTTCTTTTAGACTTAGTTGAGTAAAATGCACTATCAATGTATAATATTGTTCCTCCAGGTAACAATATATTGGCTCTTCCGGAGCCTTCAATCAGTTTTGCACTTCCAGATATAGTCTGAACGTTGGCTTCTTGCATTACCAAAGAAGAGAAATACTTTTTATTTCTAAGTATTGTATGAGTTGTTGCACTGTCAACAAGACATAAATCTTCATGATTGACGTCAATAGGAGCCATTCTTCGTTACAAGGAACATAGTCAAGAGAGGGAGGAAGAAACAAAATTAATAAAAGGAAAATACTCGTAATTTTATTAATTTGGAAAGATAACAACATTGAAAGTAGAAACTTTATAAAAGAAGATGAAAAAGAAGGAAAAAAAATCATAGAAATTTAACTTCACTAAAACAATTTATTGTTGAACATTCCCATCACCAATCAGGTGATCAATCTTTCCATTAGGATCAGCAAAGAAATCAGCAATATCCAAATGAGTGACATCCATGTTGCCATAATCAGAATCGCCCTCTTCATCAACAAAATTGGTTTCTACCCTTGGCATTTTGCCGTTGCCTTTACTTTTATTTTTAAGCGATTCTTGATAAAGGTCAACCAAATGTTTCGGTGTACGACAAGTACGTGACCAATGACCATTCCCACCACAACGATAACACGAGTCTTCAGAGTGGTTATTACTTCCACTAGTTTTTCTCTTGCGATTCTCATCATTCTTTGTCCTCTTTGAATAGGAATTTGAACCACCTCGATTATGACCACGACCACGTCCACGGTCAATGCGACGGCCTCGTGCACGTCCATGTCCTCGTCCACGACCACGTGTTGGTCCATTTACTACTACATTCGCTTCGGGGAATGGAGTGGAGCCGGTTGGACGGGATTCATGATTTTTCATTAGAAGCTCATTATTTTGCTCAGCTACAAGAAGGCAAGAAATAAGTTCAGAATACTTTTTGAAGCCTTTTTCACGGTATTGCTGCTGCAGGAGCACATTGGATGCATGAAATGTGGAGAATGTTTTCTCCAACATGTCTTCATCAGTGACTTTTTCTCCACATAATTTCAGTTGAGAACTGATTCTAAATATCGCAGAATTATACTCACTAACAGATTTAAAATCTTGTAGACGCAAGTGCATCCATTCATAACGAGCTTTTGGGAGAATGACAGTTTTTGGTGGTCATACCTTTCTTTCAAATTGTTCCAAAGAACGAGTGGGTCTTTAATGGTCAAATATTCCATTTTTAGTCCTTCATGTAAATGATGGCGTAAAAAGATCATAGCTTTAGCCTTTTCTTGATTAGATGCCTTATTTTCTGCCTTAATTGTGTCTCCCAGACCATTGGCATTTAGGTGAATTTCCGCATCTAGTACCCAAGATAAGTAATTCTTCCCAGTAATGTCAAGAGCCACAAACTCAAGTTTTGTAAGGTTTGACATGATGGCACTACCAAAAAGAATATAATATTAAAAAAAAAAATTGTCATGTATGGAAATTACAT